CGCCTGGGTGTCCTCCCCGAGGAGCCACTCCTCGTTGAGGGTGTATCGCGCCTTCCCCGTGATGGCGTCGATGGAGCCTTTGTTAATCTGCTGCTTGATGGCACAGATCAGCAGAAAGAATGGCTCTCCCACCGTCTCCTGGGGAAAGGAGAGAAGACCAAGTGAGCAAACCGAAGCCCTTCTGGGGGCGCAGTGGGGACAGGCTCTGCAAGGACATGGGGAGCAGGACTGTCCCATGCCAGGCACTGCAAACTCGTGGTGGGTGCTCAGCACCATCACCCCTCCAGCTCCCACCAGCATCTCTCTGAGGCTGCTCAGAAGTTTTGAGACTTGTGGCATGGTGACAGCACAGACGGGGAGAGGACAAAACAGCCGACAACAGCCGCAGGCAATTTTCAGGGAGGGCGAGCTGTGACTGTCAGCATCAACACACCCCACCCCATCTCCCCCGCACCGCAGGGCTGGGGGCTGTCACCGAGGGGCTGTGCCAGCAGCAGCAGGGCAGACGCTCAGGTACGGCTAGGAAGGGAGGGACACACGCATGCACGGTGCTCAAAAAACAAATGTGCATTAATTTACATGTGAAATTACACATGAACTTCAGGGAGAATCTGGCACAGAGATGTGTCTTGCAATCTGCCAGGGCGCAGGCTGTATGGCGCGCTGCGCTCAGCGGGGCCGAGTGCGGGTGATGTGCACAAAAACGCAGGTTGACCGAGGTACTTGGGTGCTCAGCTTCCTTGTGAAGGCCGGACCCCTCTTTGCGCTGCCTGTTTTGCCATGGAAATCGAGGGATATGAGCCCAGTGCCTGCGTCTGTGGCTCTGGGAAGCAGCGTTCATAGTTCTCATACCACAGCAGAGCCCTGATCACAGCAGAACAGACAGGATCAGGGTCAACAAGCTGTTCCCATGCGACAGCAAGCAAACACACCGGTTAACTCCTTACATTCATCAAGCTTCGTCTTACAGGAGAAAGGTGAATTGTGAGGCTGCTGCAATGAAAACAAAAAACATAACGGACCAGCTATTTGCGATAAAAAAAAACATGGTTTAACGCCAGATTTCTGATCCACTTCTGTCTGCTATGCTGATATGCAAGTAAAATATAAGCTATTTTCTTAAGAAACTTTTCCGTACTGGAGCACATCCCATTCTCCCTAATGTTCATGTGCAATTTCCTTCCAACGAGGCAAGTGCAAATTATTGCACATTTATGTACTTTCTGCGCATCACACACCCCGCGCAAACATTCCTGCCATCTGAAATCCTGCTCAAGACAACCGATACCGAATGATTTTGATATTTCTCAGCTAGGAGCTGCTAAATCCTGTTCAATCTGCTTCTTAATTAAGACTTGGTGATTCTTTTATTCTAATTGCCCTATAATTGCCAAAGCAATTAGTTTCGCGTCAGTTTTGATCCGGCTGCATCCAGCGCAGTTGACGCCAAGATGCTCCAGCAGGGCTGTAGGTGGGCACACACCATCTGTGTCAACGGGGCACCCGCTCGTTCCTCGAGGGCAACTTTTTTTTTGATGAGCACAGGGAAGCTCCTTGGGCCTTCCGCTGGGGCTTAAAGACCTACTGCAACGCTCCTTCGGAGCACGTGGCACAGAACGGGCTCGGGAGCGGAGCCGTCAGAGCTGGAAACAGAGGAAGGCACGGCTTCCAGAACGCAGAGAAAGATGTGAAGCCTCGGGGATGTGGAGGAGACGATGTGAACGGAGTGGAGAAAGCGTCAGAAGACACAACGAAGTCAGTTTCTGAGAGGAAGTCACATGTACAAGATAAGAAGCAAGGGAGGGACACCGACACCGAGACATGGCCAGGCTGCAGAACCTGCTTCCCCACAGCACGACCCGCAGGGTGCTGCCG